GTGACATTTGATGGTCAAGTGACTATAATTATATTGTTTTAAGATCTTATTAAGTATCTCAAAGGCTTTATTGTCTGTTGTCAAAATTAGATTAGATTTTATATAACCTTTAACTCTAAGGTACTTAAATAGGTCCACATTTGAAGGATCGTATTCATTTTGAAGTTCTTGAAAAGTCTTAATATTATCTCCTGTCATTAAATCTTGAATACATCTAATTCCTTTTACATACCAGGAGTCTGTATTAATATCCTCCATTAAGCCATTTAATATCCCAAGGGGAAGAAATTGTAAAATTGTATTTTAAAACCATTTTTATCTTTGAATCTGATCCAATTTAGCAAGATATGATTTAAAGGGGAGTCATTATCATATAGGAGCATATGGGATTGTTATGTTTTAGAAGACCAAAATAGTAACAGCATGTCATGGTTTTTTGTCTCATTTTTTTTCTAACTCTACCTGATGGTCTAGAATAAAGGGCCATAATCCAAAAGCACTCTAATCCAAAAGCACTCATTGTCTGTGCCATATATTCCCAACTGACCCTGTCAAGTGCCTTTTTGGCATCTAAAGACAGGGTCAGTAGGGGGGATTTGGATTTTTGAGTTTGTTGGTATATATTCATAAGTGATCTAATATGATTTACTGAATATCTCCCTGAGACAAAACCAACTTCGTTATTATCTATTAGAGTTGTTTAATACAGATTTTAATCTTTCAGCTGTTATGGCCGCATATATTTTAATATGTTGATTTAAAATTGATATAGGTCTATAACTGGTATCATCCTCTGTATTTTATTTACTTGTATTGAAGATTGGCACTATATTTCCACGCATAATCTCTTTGGGTATACTTCCTTTCGTAATAAATTCATTAAATGTCCTAACAAGGTGTGGAGCTAAGTCATTTGCATATAATTTGTAGAAAAAAGCATCAAAGCCATCAGGACCTTGAGATTGTTTTTTTTTTTTGCGATTTGATTATTTTGATCACTTCTTCTTCTTCTGAAAATTGACTATTTAGTTCTTTTAATATTTCTTTAGATGGTTTTTGATATTTTTTCTTATCAAAATAATCTTTTATATTACCCTTTGTAGATGATATTGGTAAATTAAACAATTGTTGATAATATGTATTAAATAATTAGCCTATGTCTTTATTTTTTTCAATTAAAAGTTAATTTATCCTTTTTTTCAGCTCTGATATGTCATTAGATCTGAGAACAGTTGGGTTTTGTTTATTTAAATTAATGTGTTGGTATAATTTGTTATGAAGATCTGTTAGTTTTTCTTCTGAGTTCTTTTTACCTTGTGCCCCTAATTTTATAAGGTGTCCCCTTATTACTGATTTATAAGCACACAAGATTAGAGGGTAAGAAAGGTTTTCAGATTGATTTTCTATAAAATTATATTCTGTCATCTGTTTAATGTAGTCAATATCTTTTTCATGTTTTAAGAGATTGTTATTTAAGTGCCAGTCGGATGTACATTTTTGAAAATTTTCTTTCAGTTCAAGTGTTAGAGAATTGTGATCTGACCAAGATATTTCTTGTATTGGTTTTTTGTTTGTTTGTTGAACTGGTCCAAAGTTACCAATTATCATATCAATTCGTGAATATGTACAATGTGAATTTGAAAAATAAGTATCGTCTCTATCTACTGTATGAAAAACTCGCCATATATCGAAAAGGGTATGTTTATCCAATATCGATTGTAATTTACGTGACTGAGAAATAATGCTTTTGTTATGACTGTTTTTATTACTGTAAGGAAACCAAGTACATTTAAACCTTAATTGGTAGTTTCCTCCCGAACAGCCAGAGCCCAATGAATATAGCCCTCTGGTCGGTAGTTATAGTAGACGAATTCCCAATTGTAAATCCAATAGTGTTCCTGGATAATTCCCACATTAAAACACACGAACTCCCAAACAGCATACATAGTCAGAATAAGGGTACAAAGATGAACTGAAGGTTTAATGACAGGCATGCTCTTTTTATGGAATTTAGCCCATGCAAGGGAGCATCCAATATAATTAGCCATACATCCAATCCTAACAATATACATACTGTACATCTCCTCCCCTCAGATAACCATTAAACACAATTAAAACGTAACAGAAATTCCCCAAAGTTTGGATGTACCCCAAGGACTTGGGAGACCAACATACTAAAAACTCAGTCCATTCGGTTCAGCCGTTCGGGAGATATAGGACTTAGAAGTTTTGACCGACTGCACGGGCAAAGTAGCCGAAAACAGTTCCATGAATTCTGGCCCTGCAGTCGGTCTTAAATCGCATGAAAAACCTCCCGAACGGCCGGCCATCCAGCTACCATCCTTGGTTCGCTTGATTCCCCATCTGTTGGTAAGTCTTTCTACCGAACGCCTGGTCGTTCGGTAGTTTGGAAGGGGTTTTACCGAAGGTCTGGAGGCTTCAGCGGTGTTCGCCTGTTTGAGTGTCCGTTTTCAGTTCCAGACATTCAATGGCAAACACCGCTGTTCGGGAGCTAAAATGGCCGCGAACACGAGGAAGTCCCGAAATGGCGGCGAGACCTGCCGTTCGTGCAAAACTTCTGCCCTACGTAATCCAGCCAGCAAGGGGGTACAGTCTGTATAAAGGGGTAACAGGGTGGTCTGCATTCGGTAGTTTTACCTACCGAATGCCATAGGGAAACATTGCTATTGACAAACAAATACAAGAAGTGCATATACAGTATAAAAGGGGCATTTCTTCACAATTACTCTTATCTAATTGGGGATTTTACACGCAATTAAAATCACCCATAAATAGAATTGTTCCTTGTTTTTTTTTCTTCTATTTTGTCGAATACTTTCTAGATAAATTGGGCAGGAGCTTTATTTAGTGCATATATGTTGACCAAGGTTATAGTTTGATTATTAAATTCCCCCACTAGGATTATGTATCTCCCTTCTTTATCCTGTTCTACATACTTAATGTTACAATTAAGTGTACTGGAGAAAAGAACTGCCCCTCTTTTTTTTGTGTGTGTGTTTAATGAAGCCGAAAAAAGTTATGGATATTTTTGCGATTTTATATTAATCTTATCTTTTAAATTCAAATGTGTCTCTTGGAGACCACATATATCGATTTTTTTGTTAATTCAAATATCGATATAACATTGATCTTTTATGGGGAGAATTTAATCCTCATACATTAAGAGTAAGTATTTTAATCATAGATCCTCAGATCCATGCCTCTGTCCCCCGTTGTCTGCCAAAAGAAAGAAAAAAAATACTACACAAAACATTACATAAATATATTTACAACTGACAGACCTGCATATCCCGTATATGCATCCTGACTCTGCAACTTACTACCCTGTTGTGCGGATAATAGGTGCCATAAATGCTATGGCGGTAGGAGCTGAAGTGATGGTATCCCGTTTTCCCCTCTATTATTGTTTTCTCCCCTTTTCTTTTCTTTTATTTTTTGTATAATATATTTATGTTGGAAGTGTTACTGTATTAGTTGTTGGTCTCCCTTATTTTTTTAGACTTATGATGGTTGAGCAGAGAGAGAAGAAAGAAGAAAAAAATTACAAATATTTTTGTAATTCCTTGCGTAATTCTTCAAATCTCCTTAATAAAGAATAAGCATCATCTTACAGATATAATCCTATTTCATACTTAGACCCATCAGATGAATATTCATAATGAGATAATTATTGTAACAAAAGTCTTTCCTCTTTTCCATTTCTTTTTCCTTCCCTATTAAACATTCAACCTTCTATTAACCTCCTATATTATTATATTTTATAATTCTGACCTTGTTTTTCACAATTACTTCATAAATTCAGTGTGTATGATCTTATAATAACCAATTTTGTGTATGGTAAGTTATAATGTATTCTATTAAATAATGTGAAGTGAAATTTATTAACATAATTATGTCTATTACTGTGGTGTAAAATTAATTTTGTTAAATACAATTTAATTATCTATCTCATACCTATTATTTTTATGTATTTATTTAAAAACTCTCTCATTGTATTCATGTTACTAAAGTGAAAGTTATTATAATCATTAAGGTTCAATTCTGTCTCTTTTTTCCTGCATTCCCTCCTCCCTCACTCATCGGCCTCACCCTAGTTTGTGTTCTCTGTAACTATATTTTATATATATCAAATAATTATTCTTAAAGTGTTTCTGTAGCTTATATAGGTTCATTTGTGTAGGAGGAAGAGAAATCCCCCCAGCCCCCCCCAAAAAAACAACAACCATTTTTGTTACAAATGCATCTCTATTGCTTTTTCTTATAAAATATAAGGGAAAAAAATTCTTCTTTGATCTGTAATGTTTTCGTGAATTCATTTAATAAACGGTTTTCTTCCATTCAATACTTTAATTTTTCCAGAGTATCAAATACTAATTTTGTACATATGTAAAGATGACCTTTGTGGGGAATCCCTATCTATACGTGATATAATTTTTTCTAAGGATTGTCGTGTGGGATGCAAATGTATGACTTTTAGATCTGGTATAGAAAGATAGATCTGGAAATTTTTAAAAATTTTTATATGGGTCTGCTAATGGGACTTCTTTTATAGCTTTTACAATGTTATCTTTTATTCATGAGGTTATACAATGAATTGATGCATCTCTTGGTGGATCTTCTGTTGACATTGGGAATTTTCCCGTCCTGTTGCATCTATCCCTGATTTGGGAATGATATTCTTGAATATTGATTAATTTAGAAAATAAATCTTTTAAGAAAGGTTCCAAATGCTCATTTGTGATGGATTCAGCAATTCCTCTTATCCTCAAATTGTTACTTTTGGAACGATCTTCCAGGTCTGCGATTTTCTGTTCCATGGACTCCATTTTTTTTTTCCCTGTTGGTAATTTGCATCTTTGCAATTCTGTATTTGAAACTCCAGTTGTCACTTTTTCTTCATTTTCTTTGACTCTTGATCCTAAAGTCATTAAATCTTTCTTAAGATCTTGTATACTAAGTTGTATTTCCTGTTTAATCTTCTGAAACTGTAGATCGAGTGCAATAGTTAATTGATGTTGTAAAGCTGATTCTTTCTCTATAAAAACTGATTTTTCCTTTGTTATCTCCTCAATTTCTAGAGGATTTTTCTCTTCTTGGTCATTTTGAATTGATTTCTCCAGTTCTAAATAAGTGGAATGTGGTGAAAAAAAGGACAATCACTTGTCAGTCTTGGCGTCTTTTTTAATCTTTTTTTTGTGGGTTTTTTTTCATCCGTCCTTTTGGATGCCATTTTTATTTGTCTTTCTAAATCTCTATTCTTCTTGTTTGTTATACTATTTGGTTAGTCGCTGGGGTGTAAAAAAATAAAAAAATGTTTTCTTTCCCTTTTTTCCCACTTTTTCCCTTCCCTTTCTGTCTATCGTTCCTTTCCCATTCGTTTCCTTTTTTTTTTTAACTTTCTTTGTAATTGATCCCTTCCTTTCTTTTTATGGCAAAGTAAGGATTAAAAAATCCTCCCCAATTACCACCTTTTCAGCAGCAAAAATCAAGAGGAAATAATTATTTAGATATTATATTTGGTTAACATTGCAATTTGAATTAATATTCCTCTTTATTTTTAAGATCTTTCTTTTTTGCCTCCTTTATCTTCCTTTCTTTCTCTTTCACTTTAAGGGAGGATTATTCTGAGGACTATTTTAATTAGCTCTTTAGCCTTTTTCTTAGATCTAGATTAACTCTTCATATATTTTTTTCCTATATTACTTATGCTTTGTTAATCTAGTTCCCATTAATGAGTCAACCTTTCGTTGCAGTTAGATTTTTGCAAATCCACTTATATGGAAAGAACATAGATTATGCAAAGAAAATAATATCCTCCTTTTTAAAAATGTTTATTTTTTATTTTATATAACAGGGATGTATCAGTTTGTATTTAGATAGATTAAAATGTTCACTTTTTTTTTTTTAGACCAGTATGTATTCAGTGTTTATGTTTAATCAATTTGCACTTATCTGTAACTTTGTGACCTCTGGTATTGCTCAATCCGCGTCACTCCTTTCATCTCTACCCGCGGTAGTTTGGTGCCAGAATTCAATGGGCTCAGGAATTCAAAGAGGCTCTATATGGTCTTTACCAGGACGTCCTCATTAAAAGGCAAAAGGCTTATTGATAGCTATATTACTTTCTGCTATCGCACAATGGCTCAGCAACACCTCGTAGTCCTAGAATTCTAACCAACGCCGTCCGACACCGTCCTCACAATCTCCTAACACCAGGGAGAGTATTCATCACTCCAGCTCCACCCCTCCACGAGCGCGACTGTGTCACGTCACATTGTCACATCATTGCTCTGACCCCCACTGTACTTATCCCGTCTTTTAAATGTGTAACCCCCTTTAGTGTATCTTATGCCCTATTTTTCCCCATTGTGTGTCTTGTGTATCTCTTACAACCCCCCCTTTGTGTGTCTCCTTCTCTCCCAGCACCTTTGTGTCTTTTACTCTTCTCGGCTCCTTTGTGTGTTTCTCCTTCACACCCAGCCTGTCTGTCTCCCCCAACCCCCTCTTTTTCTTTTTTTTCAGCCCCTCTGTGTCACTTTCACCCCAAGCTGCTTTGTTTTTCCACCCCTTCCAGGTGCCTCTTACATCCCCAGCCCCTTCTGTGTGTCTTTCTACGCCCACATGTTACTCTGTGTGTCTTTCTCCCCACTCACTCATGTCCCTTACTGGCGCTCTCCCCTTCCAGTCCATTAGTGGTCCCCTCCTTGTCCCATAGGGTTCCTCTCTCCTCCCCTTCATGTTCCTTTGTGGTTCTCTCCCCTCCTTGTCCATTAGTGGTCCTTTCTCATCTCTTCCCTTTCCCTTAGTGTTCCTCTCCCCTCCATGTCCCTTAAGTGTTCCTCTCCCTTCCTTGTCTAAGGTGTTCATCTTCCCTCCCTCCTCTGTCCCTTAGTTTTCTTCTCCCACCCCCTTAGTGGACATCTTCCCTGTCCCCAGTGTTCCTCTCCCCTCCCCTCCATGTCCCTTAGTGCTCCCTTCCATGTCCCTTAGTGTTCTTTCCCTCCACTCCCTTAGTGGTTCTCTCCCATCCCTCCCCTGTCTCTTAGTGTTCCCCCCTCCTTTTAGTGTTCCTCTCCTCTCCCCTCCCCGCCATTGCCCCCCCTTAGTGTTCCTTTTCTCTCAACCACTACCTTAGTGGTCCTCTCCCCTCCCTTCTGTGTCTGTTAGTGTCCTCCCTTCCCTTAGTGGTCCTCTCCCCTCACTTCGCTCTCTTTTAGTGTCCCCCCTTAGTGTTCATTTTCCCTTTCCTCCTTGTCCCTAAGTGTTCCACCCCCCCCACTTAGTGGTCCACTCCGCTCCCTCCCTGGTGTGCCTCCTACTACTTTTGTAGCATGGCCGTGTGGATTGGACTGCGGTACAGGAGCTTCTGATTCCTGTACCCGGCCAGACTGACAGAAAGAGCTCTCTCAGTGAGCACTTTCTGGCAGTCCGGCTGGTTAAAGGAAACAGAAGCTCCTATACCATAGTCCGCTCTGCTTGGCCACCCTTCATTGAGTGACTGGCAGTAGGGAGCACTGTGCGCTTCCCTCCTGCCAGGTCTCTCTAATCTAGCGCCCCCTGAGCTGCAGTGCCCTAAGGGGGCTACCTATGCCACCTTATGAACGTGCTGGCCCTGGGCTAGAATCAGAGAACAGAGTACATTGAAATTAGATCAGATAGCATAAAGTGACTAAATTCAAAATAAACCAGACTATAGTAAATGATCATCCAGGACATTGCTCACAACTTTGCAATCAATATTGTAAGAAATGTTTGACATGGTAAGATAGTAAATCTTAACACTTTATCCTTTCGTATTTACCTTACCTTCAACCAATCACTATCCTCCACTATTCCAACCCTAACATTTCAATTTCTCTCTGTAGTTTTTGTGATGCAACATTACTTAAAGATGATTGAGTTTTTGAGTTTTTGTATAACAATGTATTCTATAGTAAACACTGCCATTCTGTTGTATAGGAAATTATTCAAGTTATACATAAAACAAAGTAGGAACTGTTATGTCTGAAGTATAACTATGGCAAGAAAAAGGCAACAGTGTCATAACTGATGTCAAAAGTTGAAGAAATGCAAAGAACACTCTAGCACAGGGTTTCCTAAAGTATGGGTCGTCACCCCCTGGTGGGTCGCAGGGCGATTCCTAGTGGGTCATGCTGACCCATGCCTCCAGGGCCGCCGGGGACATAAGAGACCGTCAGGCAGGCTAATTAGTCGGGCCCTCGATCCGTGACCGCAGGCCCAACACCAGGAGGGGGCCCAGCGTCTTGCCCTGTATGCCGATGGGCTCCCTCCAATCAGTCTGCCCAGCACCTCCGGTCTGCAGCTCCTCCGGGTGCAGACCTGAAGACCGTGTGATAGAAGTCTCGAGAGCACCCAGAGCGTTACCATGGCAACATGACTGCAGAGTTTATCCACCGGACAACCAGAAAGGACACTGGACCACCAGGGAATTTCATAAAGGTAGGACACAGCCCCAACACCCTGAAACCCCCATAATGTAACCCCTTCTCTCACTGCCCCCCCTCCACAATGTAACCCCTTCTCTCCCTGTCTCCCCCACACTGTAACCTCTCCTCTCCCTGCCCCTCCCCACAATGTAACCCTTTCTCTCCCTGTCCTCCCCGAGACTGTAACCACTCCTCTCCCTTCCCCCCCCACACTGTAACCTCTTTTTTCCCTGTCCCCCTCCCCACACTGTAACTCCTTCTCTCTCTGCCCCCACACTGTAACCCCTTCTCACTCTGCCCCCACACTGTAACCCCTTCTCCTCCTGCTGCCTCCGCTGCCTCTCCAAACACACTGTAACCCCTTCTCTCCCTGCCCCTCCCACACTGTAACCCCTTCTCTTCCTGCCCCCCACACACTGTAACCAACACACACTGTAACCTCCTCTCCCCTGCCCCTCCCCACACTGTAACCCTTCCTGCTCACCTGTAACCCCTTCTCCCCTGCCTCCTCCCACACTGTAACCCCTCCTCTCCTGCTCCCCTCCCCACACTGTAACCTTTTCTCTCCCTGCCCCTTCCCCCTGTAACCCCTTCTCTCCCTGCCACCCTTCACACTGTAACCCCCTCCTCTGCCTTCTCCCCTCCCCCCACTGTAACCCCTTCTCACCCTGCCCCCCACTATAATCCCTTCTCTCCCTGCCCTCCTCCCCACACTGTAACCCCTTTTCTCCCTGTCCCCTGCCCACACTGTAACCCCTTCTCACCTTGCCCTCCTCCCCACTCTGTAACCCCTTCTCACCCTGCCCCCCACTGTATCCATTTCTCATCCTGCCCCCCCACTGTAACCCTTTCCCACCTTGCCCCACATGCTCCCCACAATGTAACCCTTTTCCCCTGCCCACCCACTGTAACACTTCCTCACCCTGCCCCCACACTGCCCCCCCATTGTCACCAGTACACGCACTCCCTCCCGCACTATCACCCTCACCTCCTGTCTCTGTATGTATGTGTATCTGTGTGTCCTTTTGTGCAAGTGTGTGTATTTGTGTGTCTGTGTATCTGTGTCAGATGTCAACTGTTGGTAAGTTATTTTGCTTAGAGATACCTACTATGACTCTACTTGCCTATACTAGAAGAATTTCAAAAGGTTCCATTAATGTCAGCTGGCTCACTGTATCTTGCGTAAATCACAGACTGAATTTTACCGTTGTCAATGCAGGTTGGAAGGCCCTTGTACAACAGAAGACACAAACATGTCAGCTCTATCTTAAATAAAAATGTGTTTCGTACGTAACAAGTTGTGTTATGTTTCCATAGCAGCTGTCAACTAGATATTAACTGAGTGCGAAATATTGACAGATGATGCCTGTTGTTGTGGAGTACCCAGAAGTCAGAGGAGAGATGCCAACGACCTGAGGACCACAAGGAAAAGGTAGGCCACCACACCACGAGCTATAGTTTAGAAAATTAAGAAAAATAAACTTCAAAATTGTTTATCATGATGTACTAACAAGCACATTCTCTTTTTTGACTTATTTTTATACACTTGAATGGCTGTTAACTTTAGTTTTTAAACACAAAATAAAAACATTCTATTCATTCTGAGACCATGCATCGGTGCAGGAAGTATCTCTGAAGGCGCTCCATGAGATTACAGGGTGTTTTTCCTCCTGACTCTGTATGTATAACACTCTACAGTGCTCTAACCAGACACATCCTTTGATAGAAACAGTGTTTACATCTTATTTATGTGCCAATCCTCTCCTTTCCAAGAGGAAGAATTATTTTTCTGTTGTTGCACCCTTGGCAGACTTTCCAGAGTGTATCTGGTATATGTCAAACTTTGAAATAAAGTTGTTCATTACAGAAAATAATTATATATATTTATTGCTTGATATGAAATGTAAGACGTTAATGGAAGATTCTGATCATTACAGTGTAAAAAAATGTTTTTCACAAATGAACTAGGGAGGAATACAATAGAATTAAATTTTTTTTAAGGATTATATAAATTATTTTAAGACATTTTACATATTTAATAAAATATAATTTCAGCCTACACCACTGCTAATTTTAGATTGATGTTTATTTAAATAGAAAGCTGCATATTTACGCAATTATTTTTTTCCGAACAGCAAATTCTTTTAAAAATGTCCAAAGACAAGCTGATATAAATCATTCATGGTTTACAAAAAAATCCTATACGGTGGTTGGTGCATTTTGAAAATTAAGTACTACATCTATCTATGCTGGACTAGATCTGCCCTTCGTCTAGTCATTTTATTTAAAGGAAATGTGAGCTATAGTACAATGGCAGTATTTCTTAATGCTTCATTAAAGGAACTATATAGTCACCAAAACAGCTTTAGCTTAATGAAGCAGTTTTGGTGAATAGATTATGCAGTCTTACTGCTCGATTGTCTGCTATTTAGTAGTTAAATCACGTTGCTTATGCAGCCCTAGTTACACCTAACAGCATGGGACTTCCACATCCTTTCTAAACACTTCCTGTAAAGAGCCATGTTTACCCTTCTTAATTGCAAATTTTGTTTAATTTAGAATTTTTTGTGTCCTGCTCTATTAATAGCTTGCTAGATCCTACAGAAACCTCCTGCATGTGATTAAAGTTCAATTTACAGAGCAGAAGATAAAAATTGTTAAAGTAAGTTATATCTGATTGAAAATAAAACCATTTTGTTTTCATGCAGGTTCTGTCAGTCACAGCCAGGGTGTGTGGCTAGGGCTACATAAACAGAAACAAAAGTGATTTAACTCCTAGATGGCAGTGAATTGAGTAGTGAGATTTCAGAGGCATGATCTATACACAAAAACTGCTTCATTAAGGTAAAATTGTTTTGGTGACTATAGTGTCCCTTTAAATAATAATTTGTGGTAATTCGTCCATCAGCATGCAACAATTTTTCAAACTGTCCAAGTTGGGAAAAAAATCACAACCCAAGATAGCTGAATGTTATTTCAAACTTGACAATTTAACCTATCTGTTCAAGACCCTGACTCTACAAGATATAAAACTCTGTTTTCTTAGATTAACCTACTATTCAAGAAAATGGGCAGAATTTATATGTGTAGAACAAATACAGATACAGTCTTGAATGTGGATCTGTCAAAAATATCCAGTATGGGACTCAATATGATTTTTCATATATTACAAATCAAACTGCTACTTTTCATCTATAGTAAATACAATGATTCTTATAAGATTACGTTGAAGGTGCAGCTGTTTAAATTAATTAGATCTGCAGAAAGTACCCCTTAATTTAAACAGCTTTCCCATCACCGTTAACGTGTGTTGTGAAAGTGACATTATTATTTTTTTGGGAAAAATGGAAATTATTTTTTGTGAGTGACTGCTACTTTCTCTTTAAAGGAAATGTCAAAACTGCACAGAAAAAGAAAACATGGATTAAAACAGGCAAGGCATATAAAGCATTGTCTGAATCTTCACTCCAAACAAACAAAGATAAAGTGGTTCAACTCGAGCAATTTGTAAACATCTGTTTGCTGTAATCATCAGATTTTGTTTGGTTTTTCAGCCATTCCTTGGCTCGAACATCATGGCGCGCGACGAAAGAAGAAAACATATGGACTAGGGCTGTGATTTACAGACTGCAAAGCAAGTATCGCAGAAAGTGTTGGCTGGGTAGGAAATGAAGAACAGATTGGCCCAAGTGTTTTGATTGGATGTCTGGACTTCAACGAAGAACTATAAGTATTAACAAATCACCCAATCACAATTTTTGCGTGGCTTGTAGAAGGGCTTGCTGAGATGGGATGTCAAGAGCTGCTTAAAGATTATCACAAATGATTGTAATGATTCCAAGTTTAAACAGCTGTGGAACAACTCAACCAGTCAGTTTTAGCAATGTTCCATGGTGGCATTATGGATGTATGAAAATACTTTTTTAAATATTATTGTTCATGAACCAAGAATTTGTGTTTTTAAAAAAAATTATTTGTTTAAGCAATGACAGAGTGAGCAGCATCACAATATCGTATGGCTTGTACAAAAGCCTAGTAACAATATGCATATAGGGATTTGCTAGGTAGGTCGTAGATGTTCGCCATCTGTCAAGGTTTTACATTTTTATACAGAAGTTATACAATGAAAAGGGAATATAATAAACGTGAGGTAATAGGGAAATAAGAGAAATAAGGATCAGCCCCTTTGCAAGCTGGTGTGAGCAGTCGTAGACCACAGAGCTGTGGTGCCTAGAGCGGTCCGGCGGTGCGGGCCTCGCCCATGGGCACCCCCGGATGTCCTCCGGCCAGAGCTTATTTCTGGGCTGCCAGCCGTGACCCTGACCCGGCTCCCCCCAAGAGGGCCCAAGCAGCAATGCGGCGGGCACTCACCGAAACCCTAGTATCAGAGGTGGGAGTATGAACAGAGGATAGACGTAGGTCTTTGGTAGAGCATAGGGGCCTAGACGGGACATACTTGTGTATTAAGGAGGATAAATAGGTGGGAGCAGCATTATGTAGAGATTTGAAAGCAAGAACCAGAATTTTTAATTGAGCCCTATATCTTACGAGAAGCAAATGCAGGGACTGACAGAGGGTTGAGACGTGGAAGGTAGGGGCGGACAGGAAGATGAGCCTTGCCGCCGCATTCATGATAGACTTTAACAGGGCAATTTGTGAGCACGTTGGACCACTGAGAATTGTATTGCAGTAGTCAAGGTGAGAGACGACACTGACGTGGACCAGCACCTAGCCGCATCTGGCGTTAAGTAGGGGAGGATGCGCGCTATGTTTTTGAGATGGAAGCAGCAGGATTTGGTGATCGACTGGACATGAGGGGTGCAGAAGAGGTTGTAGTCAAAAAGAACACCAAAGGAAGAGAGCATGGGTGTTGGAGCTGATGGTAGCGTTATTAATAGGTTGAGTTTAAGAAAGTGGGCAGCAATCCAATTAGAAATAGCAGAGAGGCAGTCATAAACACTATATAAGAGGGGCGGGGAGAGATCAGGAGATGACAGTTAGATTTGCATGTCATCGGCATAGAAATAATAGTGGAAACCAAAGGAGCTGGTGGGTTTACCAAGAGAGGCAGTATAGATTGAGAACAGTAGGGGACACCAACAGAGAGGGATTGGGAAGAAGAGGCAGAGTCAGAGAAAGAAACACTGAAAGAGTGCTGGGAAAGGTAGGAGCAGCACCAGGAGAGAGTAATATCTCGTAGATTACAGAGGATAAAAAGAAACTGTTGATGATCAACAGGGTCAAAAGCAGCGGAAAAGTCAAGGAGAACTAGGATAGAATAGTGACCATGAGATAGTTGTCCATCAGACACTCTTGTATTGTTTTGGCTGTGTCCTTAGGGTCATTGTCCTATTGGAATGTTAGACTTCAGCCCAGTCTGAGATCCTGAGTGATATAGATTACCAAAAAGATGACCTATACTTCTGTATTCACTGTTGGTAGCCAGCTTCCACAGTGCAATGGCAACTCTTTTCCCCACAGGCAAACAGGCTCTGAAGTTGGTGGTTTGCTTCTCCATCGCTGGACGTCACTTTGCACAAAGGTATAAAAATGTTTCCTCCGATATTCTGAATTTGTGCACCCACTGTGTGTGTGTGAATCCAGGGACGGTCACATCCCACCACTCATTGGCGCGGCAGAGAGCCCAAATGACTGGTCGGCGGCGCTGCTTTGACAAAAGGAGAAGCATCTAAAAAAAAGACAGATGTTACCATATCACTAATACAACATAAAATACTTTACACAAACAGATAGCATCATGTATAAAAGCGAGCAACATAAATAACATAAGGAGTATTTATGTATAAGGTTTAATTCTTGAATTTTACACATGTGTGCAACATGTATGTTGTTAAATACATAATGTATATCCTTCCCATCTTATATTAGATTTTTTTTTACATATTCTGTATTATTTTTATTTCTTAATACGTGTAGAACTACATGACAAATGGCATAAAGTTGCTTACCCTATAGTGCTGCCGTCTTTGTCTTTGCCCTTAAGCCCTGAAGACCCAGCAACGCACTATTGTGGAAGTGGCTAGCCTGGGTACCCACTTTAGTGACCGGGGGTCGGACCCAACCTCTCTCTGAGGGAATGAAAATTGTCCACTGCATGCCAGGGTTCAGCCTCTTATCCCTGAAGACCCAGCAACAGGCCAGCTTGGGTACCCCCTCAGGGGATGAATGTGCCTACATGACACCAGGCCAGGGTTCAGCCTCTCCTGAAGACCCAGCAAACAGCACATCTGTAAGAGTTGCCAGCTTGGGTACCTACTTCAGCAACCAGGGGTCTGACCCATCTCTCTCTCTGAAGTGATGACTGTAGTCCACTGCATACATGAGGCCCAGCCGAGTCTAAGCCTTTATCCCTGAAGACAAAGCAAAAAGCACATCTGTTGCCAGCCTGGGTACCTCCTTCAGCAATCAGGAGTCTAACCTATCTCTCTCCCTGAGGGGATGACAGCGGTCCACTGCATACGTGAGGCCCAGCCGAGTCTAAGCCTTTATCCCTGAAGACCCAGTAAACAGCACTTCCATAGGGTGACTACCTGGGTATACCTATTCTAGGTATTCCACCTTGTCTTGGGTTTGGTTTACACCTTCTCCCACTGGTGATGATGAACGGCATTTGGGGTACAGATGGAAGCCTATAGTTTAAACAGTTTAGGCTGTCAGTTGTTCAAATTCCTATTTTGCCGCGGAAACACAGGCATGCAGCTGTTCAGGTAAGTGCATTAGTAATTTAGATTAAAACTAGTATTGGCACCTCGGTCTCTGTTATTTCAGTCCCTCCCAGCTGCTTACATTAGGCTTCCTTCTAACAAATAGGTCACATATAGGAGGTTTGTGTGGTGAGCATTTAGGTAAGTTTATACATGAAAGGATGCTTGGTGCAAAAGAGTGATGATAATGCAATGAGGCATTGTGAAAAAAAGTGCTAATAATGGATATCCTGTCTGTATAAAGTCTGCTGGAATTCCACAGTCCTGAAGACAGAGAAATATCCAAGGTAAGAGAACTTTCTTGGGTGACTGATTAAAAACTGACTGATTAAAGTTCACACAGGTATAGGACTTGTTTCTATCAATGCATGTGGCATTGATTGCTGTTATCTGTGCATTATTGCAAATAAGTGGGCTTTTGCAGACAGTGGAAGAATATACTGCATATGAGACCACTGGGCCTCAGTATCTGTACATGAACTGGATGTGGTACAGCATCAGTATGTTTCTACTATATGCTCTCTGTATGAATTGGTCTGAAGTCTCAGTGTGTGTGTGTCCAGTAAATGCTCTATGTATGCGTTACTATGAGGACACAGCCTCAGTATATGTATCCACTATATGCTCTATGTAAGAGTTACTGTGAGGGCACTGCCTCAGTATAAGTATCCACTATATGCTGTATGTATGAGTTACTATGAGGACATCAACTCAGTATAGGTATGCTCTATGTATGAATTACGATGAGGACACAGCCTCAGTATATGTATCCACTATATCGTCTATGTATGAGTTGATCTGAAGACTCTGCCTCAGTGTGTGTTCTTTATATGCTCTAAGTTGCTGTGGAAACACAGCCTCAGTATATGTCCTCTACATGCTCTATATGTAAGTTGGTGTGGAGACATTGCTTTAGTGTATCTGTTCACTATATGCTTGATGTATTAGTGGAAACACAATATATGTGAATGATATAAGACACATCTTCTATATGAGTCCAATCTAATACAACTTCTGTGTGTGGGTTGTTAGTCACAACCTCAGTATATGTGAGTGGTATAATATGTGCATGAAATTCTGTTAAAACACATTTATTATTTTTTTAATCCATCACAAGTTGGGTTACTTATTTCTTACGAGAGTTAGCCTTATTCCTTCTCTAAATTAGGCTATCATGGCCTTAATACCTATTTGGCTCTATATTTATTCGGGATATTTCAGACATTTGAATGCCAGGAGGTTGCTGACTTTGCAGCCTCTATGGTAAGCTAATTTGTCTGAACAGATTTTATGCCAATATCCTATTAATTACTTGTTTGTCTTTTTAAAGTCTTCTAAGGTTTATGCAGCTCAATAATGGTTTTATAGCTATTAGCTGTTTTTTAACTCTGCCCCTCCCTCAATATATACTGCTTGGGTAATCCCCATGAGTAAATGCTGCCATGATTGATCAGGAATAAGGAAAATTGTTTCATACTTACCGTAATTTTGTTTTCCTGATCATTATTCATGGCAGCATTACGTTCCCACCCATGTACTATAAGAGTTGTGAAGCTAGTTACAAAGACTATATGATGGGAAGGGGGAGGATCTATTTATACCAGTTTCAAAGTTCTATTTCCTGTCCTTTCTGCTGTGAGGGGAGGAGCTAACCCATGAGTAAATGCTGCCATGAATTATGATCAGGAAAAGAAAATTACGGTAAGTATGAAACAATTTTCCTTATTTTCTAAAGTCTAAAACTTTTGTTTTTGTATCGTGTGACTCAGTCACTGTTCTTATATTAAACCACACTGACTGATGATCACTGGATCCTAAACTTTCACCTACAGTAATATCTGATAACAAATCTCCATTTGTTAACACTAAATCTAGTATGGCTTCTTTATGAGTTGGCTCCTCAACAACTTGTTTTAGTAGGGAGTTTAGAATATGTGGGCTCCTGGCACAAGCAGCTATGGTTTTCCAGTTCACATCAGGAAGATTATAGTCACCCATGATGATAACTTCCCCCTTCACTGTCATTTTAGCTATTTTCTCAACTAGTAGATTATCTAACTCTTCTATTTGTCCTGGAGGCCTATAAATCACACCTACACGAGTTATTGTGTGATTACCAAATGGACTCTATGTTCTCCTGTTTTGGGGGGCAATTTGATTGATGTTTTATCACTCTTTTGACCACTCCTCCTAGTTTAAATACATCCTAGCAAAATCTCTGAACTGCTCGCTGAGAACATTTGTTCCCTTTTGAGAAAGATGCAAACCATCTTTTTTGTACATATTATTTCCATTCCAAACAGAGCTCCCATGAGAAATGAAGCCAAATCTTTGCTCCCGACACCATTCACCAAGCCACAACTTAAAGTCCCAAATGGGCATCCGCCTGTCGTTCTGAGTGTTATGCACAGGCAGAACTTCAGAGAATAACAGTATGGAAGCAACCTGCCGTATATCATTGGCAAAAACACAAAACACTTCCTTTAACTCTGAAACCTCATTGCAAGCCAAGTAATTTGTCCCTAGATGGACAAGTACATCCAATTCCCCTTTCTGCTTTGCTCGCTTAACAATATTACAAATACGTCTCCAGTCTATGTGAGCAGTAGCTCCGGGAAGACATCTCCCAAGACCATTATTGTCCAGCTCTACACCTCTTATGATAGAATCCCCAAACAACAACTGCTTTTTATTAGGCCTCACCATAGTCTCCAAGCCTGTCTCCATAATACCACTACACTTGGTGCCTGGGAATGTCTCCACAACACCACTACACCCAGTGCCTGAGCCTGTCTCCACAACAGCACTACCCTCATTGAATGGCTCTTTGAAATTAAATATGCAAGTCTTGCTGGCCTATTGACATATCTGTCACTCCTTGCATGGCAATATACTAATATACTAATAACAAAACCCATAATAACTATTTTGAAGAATCCCAGTGGTGGCAGGTGAAGTTTAATGATGGTGGGGTACTGTCCACCCCAACTTGCTGGGCTCTACCCACTTAACCACCAAACAAGCCCTGTTCAAAACCTGCTGCATCTCCAATTATCAATAAAAGGGTGGATGAAAACTGCTGATAAAATAAATATATATGTGTCTTGATGATTACAACACACACTTTTCAGTCATCCTTACTATACCAATAATGTAGATCTAGTTTTTTTGCAACAAAAACTGGGGGTGGTTGCACATTATTTCCCTGAAGAATACAATATGAATATACATGCAAAGTAGGTTAAAGATTTAATCAAGAACAGTGAAGCATACTTGACCATTTTCCCCCCAATATCTTACAGGACCATCAAGGTATTTCATAAAGGAGGTTAAGGAAAATACATTTAATAAATCACAACTAAAATTTAATAGAACTTGTTGAAGGTTCAAATTACCCTTACAAGAAATCACATTTAACGAGGAACCCAAATGTTCAAATCTCTCTATTCTTTAAAAATATGAAAAACATGACTTACAGCAAAAGAGAATGCAAGAAGATTGATGATAGCATTTAACATTTATGCATAATGCTCGGAGTCTTTATTGTAAGGTAATGTGATAATTTACTGTTGGTAAAGTTGAAATATTAAGGTCTCATACTAAATTTCAGAGTTTCATTTAAATGTTCTTTGTTAATTTGTGCTCAGATGTAGTAAGCTATATATGGAACTTTGATGCTGAGCAACACAAACTAGATGACATGATGGTAAGAAACTGGCTGATGTTTTGAACCCTAGGTTCGTGTGTGAAATTGGACCGAATTCTTAAATGTAATTCTTTACAAATTATTTAACGCTAGCATTCATTTTTAACGTACATTTCACACACTTTGCATAATCGATTTATAAAATGAAGGCCTGGTGGTAATACATAGCATCAAGTCACTAACTGACTAATGGGCCCATAACGTATTGATTACAACTAATTGGGCAATTTTACATGTAATATTAGATGCACTGGATTTACATATGGTTTGCATATGGGAATGGTTGCCTTGTTATTGCTTATATAGCTCAACAATGAATACAAACTCTCAATGAAAAAGAAGCAAAAACCATCTATAAGAATTCTAAGTCGGTTTTAGATCATTGATTCCAATCCCAGCTTTTAAGACTCACAAATGGTCTAGGTTTTGTCAGTATTCCTGTTGGAATAGAATTGAGAAATTCTGTAATCCTGGCTGGTAATTACAGAACTAACTTGGAAATTTAGCCTAAAATAGCTTCTGAATTGGAAAATATTTTCACAATTTATTACTGTTTGGCAGTGAGATTTCAACTTACCGTAGCTTACCTTTTAGTAATTAGTTTTCTTCTTCCGGGTTATTTAGAGTAGCTGAAATTAATGCATAGTTAAATTTTTCCAGTTCAACTAATTTGACTTTAAATTTGAAATCCACTTTGAATTCATCTTAAATTATTACTTTAGTGAAAAACACTGTGAGAAAATTGCTAAATTAGTGAATTTGACCAGTTTTGCTTTTTTGGCCTAACATTTCTATTTCACCAATCACGGTTATTGTTTAAAGAAGGAATTGCAGGATTTCTTTTCTCCTTCTTGTCTTATTTTTGCCCTCCTTAAATATGGCACTTGGTTGTTTGAGCAAAATACACAAAAATACACAAAATACACATTTAGTGCTAGCCCACCACGTGAACTGCATAATTGATAATTGCGGCCCGGTGATGTGTCCGACGGGAGTAGCCATTACCACCAAGCACCAATGATTTCATAATTAAAGTTTGTCGGGAATAGTGTCACCTATGGGAGTGTACATTAAGCAGGTGGACATACTTAATTAAAAGGGCGGGGAGCCCGAGTATGAGATGATTAGATGATCCCTCAAAGGGGAGTTTCTATTGTGCACATGAAAAAGGAAGATTCCCTGAGATGAACTCACAGCTGACTAAAGAAGCTCGGGAAAAGAATGAAACGAAAAAATGAAACAAAAGAATGAAATGTTTTGGCTGCTTTTAGGTAAAACTGTTGTTATATTGTTTTGCACTTAAAGTGACACTCCAGGCACCCAGACCACTTCTGCCCATTGGAGTGTTCTGGGTGCCAACTCCCACTACTCTCAACCCTGCAACTGTAATTATTGCAGTTTTTTATAATCTGCAATAATTACCATGCAGGGTTAACTCCACCTCTAGTGGCTGTCTCATTTCCCCATAGGAAAGCATTGAAATGCATTTTCAATGCTTTCTTATGGGAAGCGCTAATGCGCATGCACTGCATTGACGCGCATGCGCATTAGGTCTCCCCAGCCGGTGGGCGGGATCAGTCTCGTCCATCGGCCGACGCAATACAGAGGAGGAGCGGAGGAAGAAGCTGCCTCTGGTCGCTGCCTCTGGTAAGTTACTGAAGGGGTTTTTACCCCTTCAGCAACTGGGGATTGGGGGGTGGGAGGGAGAGGGAACCTGCAGTGCCAGGAAAATGGATTGTTTTCCTGGCACTGGAGTTTCCCTTTAAGCACTGTTTATAGTAACACACTCCCTATGTTATAGAGGTTGTTGTTGTTTTATTTTATTTTTACAATCTCAGGTTTTTTATAGAAATTTTCACAAACATATTACAACATACAGTCATAGAATACAGGTGGGAATTAGTTACAGAAGTAGATCAGTCCTCTCCACTGCAAGCATTACTATTCCCCTTGGGTTCCCAATTTGAGTTTGCAATAAGAGGTACAAGTCTACAGGTATCATTGGACGTGTTCAAGCATGCTGTTTATGCTTGGTGTGTCACTTAGGTGTGTAACTGCTCTTGTTCACTGAACCTCCATGTGTACTGCTAAAATCGCAGTCCCGGGCATGGGATCATTTTCCATTTCCCTGCCATGTGACCATCACCTGTCGCTATAGGGTCTAGTTCCTGGGGCATGGATGCCAGAGCCTGTGGCCAGGTGGTCAGTGAGTTAACCATAGCTACCTGCACCCTCTGCAAGTTACCAACCCGTGCGGCCTGGTAAATGAGCCCTTGTGAGTAACCACTTTGAGAGGCAGAGCTAAAATATAGTAGACGTCATAAATCAGAAAGGGTTGGTTGGGAAGAATAGAAGAAAGTGTGAGTGAAAAATGAAGAGAGAAAGAAAGGGAAAAAAGGGAAGATGAAGGGCAAGGAGGGGGGATGTTTGTCCTGAACTGTTGTTTCAGACCCGCTCGCTCTGACCTCCCGCAGGAAGTCCCCACGCCCCTGCATTCTCTAGTTGCCCTTACGGGCACAACACCCTGTCTGTGGTAGGCTTTATATGTTGTCTGTGCACAAATGGTAAATCCAGGTTCTTCAGATCTCCTAATGCTTCTCCAGTCTTCTTTTAGTTGCGGCAACCCCTGCTCAAGTTGACGGATCTCTTCAACTCTACTGAGCCAGTCTTGGCAAGTGGGTATTAGAGAGTCTGCTACAGTTAGCAAGTTTTGGGAGAGGAATTTCTTAAATTTGGAACATACCATGGGGTATCATACCAGTGCGTGATGATCTTATAGTTGGTTTATCTTTAGTTTGCACAGTTTAACTGAGGTATGTGTAGTGGGCAATTTTGTCCTATCCTTGGGTCGTCAATGTCGTGTGGAGTGCTTCCACCCCTAAGGATTAAAACTTGAGAGGGAGATGTTTCTCCGCATCCATTAGTAGTTGATAGAGCGCGGATATACCATGATACAAAGCTTCTGCCTTCTGCAGATATCCTCCAAAGGCGTCAGCGGTCTGTTCAGTTGTATCATGTGAGATACTGATGAAACGAAGTGGCAGAGTTGATGATATCGAAACGATTCCATGGCTGTGGGTGGTCTATCCAGAAGGAGTTCGGCAAGTTGAATCAATGGTGAATCGCGGTACACGTTGAAAAGGCAAACATAGGAGCCCTTCCTAATGAAATCTAATATCCCCCCCTTCCACCCAAAGGGGATACGCTGGGTTTCCCAGTCCCAGTTGGGACCTTGATGTTGAGTGCCTCTGATTTGTCCAGGTTAAGTTTAAAGTTGCCCAGATCGCCGTATGTGTGGAACTCTTCGATGATGTTTGGAAGGGTGGTTAAAGGTTACATAATGTACAATAGTAGGTAGTGTTCGTATGCAGAGACTTTATGCTCTACCCCTGCGAACTGAAGGCCCAGAATCAACTGGTTGTATCTAATGGCCTCTAGGAAAGGCTCCAACGTCAGTACGAGTAGGAGCAGTGAGAGCTGGCAGCCCTGCCTTGTCCCATTTGTTATTCTGATGGGGCCAGAGAGCCCATCGATAATACGCACCTTGGCTGATGGTTTGGGTAATAGAGGTTTTTTTTCTGGTTTCAGTGAATACAGATATTTGTTTGCTAAAAGTATGTCATTTTAAGTAGTCTTATAAAATTTTAAACTGTATTTTTTGTTTTTTAATCTCTATTTTGTATGTGTATCGGTGCCAGTATGTGTATGTCAGTGTGTATATATCAGTCTATGTGTGTATCTGTGTGTGTGGCAGTGTATGTGTATATATCCCTGCATTCAAGTGACAACACTACACACAACTGCACACCTGCATTTGAACGCTACCGCAATATAAATATACCACCGCATTCAAATGATAACAATGCATATAAATAAACTTCTATATTCACACGCACATACTCTATACCAAAACATATTTACATTCAATTGTGCAAACACTGCTCACTCATGCAATGCTGCAAGTATAGGCAAATAGTAGATTACCAGTTGGCAAATCATTGTGGGAGTTGTATGGGAGATGGGAATCTATCTTTAGGTAACCTTTGTGCTGGGAGGGGGAACTATGCTTACAGGCCAACTGTAAAATTAACTATGGAAAAGAGGGGGATAATGCAAGTGGAATAGCTACAATAAACACATTGAAACCAATGTGGCTCAGTAGGGAAGTGAAACAAGAGATTTAAAATAAGAAAATGGCATTTAAAGCATTTAAGGTATAGGGAAGCCAATAATGCTTGCAAAATAGCAATTAAAGTGGCTAAATTAGAAAACGAGAAATTGATAGCCAAAGAAAGCAAAACCAACACCCACATTTTTTTCAAGTACTTCAATTCTAAAAAAACAAAAAATGAAAGTGTAGGTACACTGGAGACAGAGATGGGGCTGTTAGTTAATTAAGACCAGGAAAAGGCAGACATTTTACATTTTCAAGCTGGACAAAAGTGGTAAGTGGTGTCCCTCAGGGTTCTGTTTTGGGACCGCTTCTATTTAACATGTCTATAAAGGATCTTGAAATAGGCATTGAAAGCCATGTTTCAGTGTTTGCAGATGACACAAAACTTTGTAAAGTAATAAAATGTGAGCAGGTTATTGCTTTGCTGCATAGGGATTTACATTGGGGGACTGGGCACTAAAATGGCAGATGAAATTTAATGTAGAGAAATGTAAAGTTATGCACTTCGGGGTAAGGAATGCACAAGCAACTTACACCCTAAATGGTAGTGAATTAGGGATGACAATACACGAGAAGGATTTAGAAATTGTTATAGACAACAAATTAGGCAGCAATATGCAATGTCAGTCTGCAATTGCAAGGGCCAGTAAGGTTTTGTGATGTACAAATAGGGGCTACATTCTTGGTAAGAAAATATAATTTTTCCTCTTTATAAATTGCTGGTAAGACCACACCTTGAATATGCTGTGCAATTTTTAGCACCTCTTCTAAAGAAGGATATCATGGCACTAGAAGTGCAGAGACGAGCTACAAAATTGATCAAAGGAATAGAGCATTTTAGTTATGAAGAAAGGTTAACAAATTTAAATCTCTTTAGTTTGGAAAAATGGCGCCTCAGAGGGGATATGATAACATTATACAAATATATTCAGGGCCAGTACAAACCATTATCTGGAAATCTATTCATAAACAGGGCACGAGGTCACGCATTTAGGCTGGAAGAAAGGAGATTTAGTCTAAGACAAAGAAAAAATTTTTTTTACAGTAAGAACTATAAGGATGTGGAATTTTTAGCCTGAAGATTTGGTTTTATCAGAGCCCATACAGATGTTTAAACAGAAATTGGATAAATAATAACATACAGGGATATAATTTCTAATTAGTGGGGTAATGGCTGCTTGATCCAAGGAGGTATCTGACTGCTATTTTGGGGTCAAGAAGGAATTTTTTCCTAGAATGTTGCAAAATTGGAAGCACTTCAGACTGGGTCTTTTCTTTTGGATCAACGGCAAAAACATCAAAAGCATATGTGAGGAAGGCTGAACTTGATAGACGCAAGCCTCTTCTCAGCTATGTAACTATGTAATAAATAATTTAGAAAGCATAGTTTAATGTACATTCCACAGCATCTGTAACTGTAATATTGGTATCTAATATAAAACAAAACTGCTGAACCATGTTTAATTGAGAAATTATTTATGGATACCTTCAATTTTGTTAATTTTCTTTAATGGATGGTCAGATTGACATATGGGTGGACCAATGGATAAACAGACAGACTGACAAACAGATAGAAAAGCAAGAGAGAACTTATATGCATGTACCTACAGAACATAAATAAAAGTTACAGTGATAAATAAAAAGTTGTTGATTTACTTTGCATTGGTCAACCTAATCCTATGTAGTTTACAAGTCACTATAATTACATTTGTGATGCATTATGACCTTAAATACCATGCTTCTTAGTGGTGAGTATCATTATAGCCAAAAAAAGTTGCTGCCCAACTGAAATGGAACTGCTGGCTAATCTCCTGAAGTGTTGTATGTGATCTAATTTGATGTTGACATTTGTTCTGTTTTGGTCCAGGGTGAAAAATTTCCTTTTTATGCCTTCAAGTCATTTTAGCATTCCAAGGTTCATACAAACTTTCTGAAAACTTGTAAACACAGAGAACTCACAAAAATAGGAAAACGAGTCTTAGTGATCTGTAAAAGGTTGTTGCTGGGTTTTTTTGTGATCGATATGAGAACAGATTGAATATGCCATTTTGTTTTGTTTCCTGTAAATGTAGTGTGGCTTTTGTTTTTCTTGTCTGTTTTCAGATGTTAGGAAAAAAGTAAATATACAGATACTCCAAAACAGCTGCCAAACTGCAGCAGAGCAAGGAGTAAATTACAATCAGTTGGCAAAGAGCACAATGTAAAGCAGACACTGATGTTTTATTGGTAGAAAAGAAATATAAAAACATGATCAGAGAGAAAATCTGTATGTGCCAAAATGAATATATAGACTATATACCAATGTCTTTCTCTTCGCGTCCAGTTCAATTCGCTAATGACATCCTGGATCCAATTTCAGTTTAAACCAGCACAGAAGTCATTTTATGAGTATGGCAACCAAATCTTAAAGCTCTTGGCTAGAGCCTTGAGATGCCAGCAAGACACATGTGTCACCCACTGACAATGTTGAGGGTTTTTGCCAATGCTATGACTCTCTATATCATCTTGATACTGATAAGACACATGACCCTGACACCTCTTCCTCAACTCACATACAATGTTATGTATCCAAACATGTTTTTCAAACACTAGACTTGGAGGCCTTTAGTAAATTAGAAGAACCCATTTCAAAGGAGGAACTTTTCTCAAGCAATCCAAACTTGGGAAGAGTCCTGGCATAGATGGCATCACAATAAAGTATTAAAAAACATATTTATACATCCTATCCCCACACCTACTTCGCTTCTTAATGCTATCCACGAACGTTGCTCAGTAAACCCATGTACATGAACAGCTACCATAGTGTTTCTTCCCAAAGAGGGAAAAGACCCTTTGCTCTCTCTGAGCTATAGACTGTTTTCCATGTTGAATGCTGATCTCAAATTATTTGCAAAAGTTCAGGCACTCCCCCTATAACTACACATGCCCAAACTTGTACACCCAGACCATGTGGGATGCGCTCAGAGCAGGGAGGCACAAGGCAACACGACTATAGTGGTGAACTTGATTTAAGTACCAAACAAACGACAGGCCTCCTTCTTTCTCGTTTCAATAGATGCAGGGAAGATGTTCGACAGGGTTGATTGGTCCTTTCTGTGTGCAGTTATCCAAAAGATAGGGCTGGGGCCCTATATTCACAATTTACATTACAAGTATACATCAATAGTATCTTGTCTTGCCCCTTCGATATATAAAAAAATGGAACCAGGCATGGGTATCCCTTATCCCCTTCCTATTTGTCTAGAGCCTTTTCTGAATACATTGAGGAGTGCCCATAACATCAAGGGGGTTTAGGAAGGGGGCTGGGGTGTATGCATGGATGATTTACACTTCTTTAGCTCAAATCTGTCAGTGTCTTCCCTCCATTATGCATGCATTTTGTATTTTCAGTTCCTTCTCAAACTTGAAAATTAACTTCTCCAGTTTTGAAATTCTAAACCTTACCTGCAAGACACTCTAGTCTCTACCCTGCATTACGATTAATCTCTTCAATGGTATACTGGAGCAATTAATATTAGTTACTTTGATCCATGCAGATCTCTCTCAAACAGTTGCTATAAACTTTTCCCGCTCCTGGAGAGTCAAGCTTAAGTCCGTTTTGGAGGCAGAGCACCGCACCCATTGTAGGAGATTGGATCACTACAGCAGAGGAAATATGCTCAATAGAAGAGATCATCTTGTCCTGTTGGATAATATTCAAAAATGCAATTTTATCTGGTTTCACTGGATGTGGTGGCTCTCTGAGTGAACTTCCTCTGTTCAACGGTCGCTGAGCCAGCCATACTCACAACCTCTACCACATCTCCCAACACCGTTAGTGGCAACAGATGCATGCATGCTTGACTGTGGTAGTTTCCCCCTTTTTATCTCCTTCATTTATTCAGTTACTTTATTTATTTATCAAAATGTTATTTCTTTTTCTATCTCCATCTCCCTTTCCTAATTCCTCCCTCCTTTCTGCACTCCTATTCACCTTCTAATTAGCAGCTCCTGATACTAAGTGATAAAATATAGATAGAATATTTGGAGGAGAACTCCTGTTGCATGCATATTAATGATGGAGCTGAGTACTTAATAGATACGTATTAAATGTTTTCTATTTTTGCATTATGTGATGTATGCCGTGATCAATATAAATACCTGAAATGTACACGCTTCATCTTATAAATGTTTACTCCTGTTTCAATAAAGCTTGAATAGAAAAAACCTTAAATAGAAAAGTAATATATAGCCTATATATGCAATACATAACCATAAGCTATGTATAAAGGGAAAATAAAAAATACCAGGGTTCAGGAGACATCATGTACAACTTGGTAGAAGGTCGAGAATTTATGTTTTCTTAAAAAAAGAAAGATAAGGCTAAATCTAACATAAAATTGATAATAAATCACATTATTTGATAATAATTCCTACCATATTCATGCAGCATTTTACATTTATTAAGTCGGGTTATAGTGAGTTGAAAAATTAGGAAACATTTGTGTGTTGAAATGTGTATGAAGACCAACAAACTAGAGGTTTTTCTTCATTTGAATACACCATGCCTGGAGAATTTTTCTTTGCCTGGTTGCAGGGTATAATTCAGTGTTCCTGAATTTCTCAAGCATAGCAATTTACTTGGTGTATTAAGTATGTTGCACCCCCTAAAGGTTCATCCTTCTGATGGCAGAGCTGTTTCCACTGTATATCTATGTATTTTGGAATGAGCCATGGTGGAATTTTTCTTGTGGTCACTGCATTTTGTACTGAGGTTTTTAACTGCAAGTGACTAGACAGTCTTCTTGGTGATCAAAATGTGGGGGGCTGCAAACTCCTTATCAATGGAGAATGCCATAATGGTAATTACTTTGGTTGCTGCATAGACTACACAAACTGCAGGAAAGGAGGTACCTATTGTTTGGCATTGTGTACATACAAACCTTTTAGTTAGGTATTTCTAGGAATGAATGCATCAACACAATAAGAACATCACTTACTCCACTGAGTGTCTCAGTTCCATAGTCTTGTACGAAGTAAGAGTTTATTAAATTAAATAGAACAACGTATTCCATGTAAGATCCACCACCTGCCACTCTAATCGATGCTATCTCATACAACAATCCAATATGAAAAAATTATTGGAATCAAATAAAGCCAGATTGCCCATAGAGCACTTTCAACATCCTATAAGTCAATGGTTAACCGAGGGCATCACAACCTAGCATTGGGAAAACAGACACAAACTACCATTGGGAAAGCCATACATTTCTAATTGACATGAATAAGTGATAACAAGTTTAACATATGTGCAGGGGCACACTGACCAGGCACTCAGACAAAGTGCACTACTCTGGGGGGTGGGGGGAAGGGGTGGTCAGGCGGCATGCACAGTGTGTCGCTAAATACGGGCACAAACCCAAGTCTGTCAGAGGAAATCAACTGCTGGGCTAATGCTATTCGAGCGCTGGCCCAGAGAGGGAGCTTCGTGGCGAATGGGTAGATCTCCAGTGTAATGACCTAGGGAAGGAGGAAGACACTGTGGGTGCAGCCAAGTTCTTCAATCTTTCCACTGTATCAGATCATTACCATTGCATGTTCTGATACTTTCCCTGGTGCTGGCCAGAAGGAGTAGTCTGCATCCGCTGATGGTGCAGAAAATGTGCTTCTCCACCAGAGATGAGTATTCCACCCATTTCTGGCCCGAGATAAGCTACATGGAGGGGGAAATACACTTTAAATTGTTTTTATTATTTTTAAGAGTTTTTATACCTGCCCCAAACTCATTGTAGCTCTTTTCTCCCCTCACTTACCACATCCCCACACAACACTAAAGTCCTTATTTCCCCACACACTACAGCCCATAATTCCAGCTCAAACTACCACCCCTATCCACCCACATACTACAGGCACTATACATATGACAGTATATATTCCCCCATACACCACAGCTCCTAGAACTTCATATACTATAGCTCAATTTCCTAAACGCAGCATCCCCATATCCACGCACACACTGCAGCCCCTATCAACTCCACACACCACAGCCCCTATCCTTAATATACTACATCCTTCACATACTATAGCTCCTATTGCCTCCACATACTACAGCCACTCTCCCCGAAAACATACAGTACATACCCTATACCCCAACTCATACACTAAAGCCCCTAACCCATCAACATACACTACAGCCCCCCACATATACACTACAGCTCATATATCCCTGCAAACACTACAGCCCCTATCACAATTACATGCAAGATCCTCTACCCCACCACATGCTACACTCTACACGCTACTATTTTCCCCACACTCAGAAACACTACAGCCTCTATACCCCAACACACATTTCAGTCCCTCTCTAAACACATACTACTCCACTAACAGCACATGCAGATATAGCCACCCACCTGTGTATGATATATATTGAGAAATATATGTGTGAGTGTGTGTGTGTATATATATTAGATATATATATATATATATATATATATATATGTGTGTGTGTGACTTTGTGACTTTATGTTATTATTAATTTTATTTTTAGAGAAATAAATACTATAACCCAAACATATGCTTGTGGGTGGTTCTTGAATGTGGGTGGGT